CGCAGGGTAGGGCAGGCAAACAAACACAGTTCAAATGATCCCAGGCCCTGGTGCAGGGCAGGGCAGACAAACACACAGATGACTGGCAAGGGAGGGGGAGACTGCCACCCAGTATGTGGAGTTGCAGGGGGGACACGGGCCCCCCTACTTCACTGCGTCCCAGCCCAGGGACCTAGCAGTGGCACTCTGACCCACAACATGCTGACACACTACAGTACAATGAGGTCAGCCTGACTGGTATCAGCTTCCTTTGGGCCGCTTCCAAACTCTCCCTTGGAATATACCTGGCTCCACGGTCCTGGCAGGTTCTTCAGGTTGTCAGAGTCTGAACCCTCTGGCAGGGTTAGAAACATTCCCTCTTGGGGCCTGGCAGTCCAGGCCAGTCCTCAACTTCAGCCAGGTCTTCAGAGGCCTCCCCGCTCAGTAGCTTGGGACAGACCTCTGCTTCCTCTTGTGGCTGGGACCATACTGAGCTCTTGGGCTGGGCTTTTATACTACTCATCCCACCCCTGGGGTTCTGGGGAGTTAAACAGGCAGGATCAAGCTTGGCCCACCCAGGCTGGGAGAGGGTTTCTTCCCCCTCTGGGTTAGTGAGTGGCTACCTCTGTTCATTACACCATGCCTAAAAGAAATATTGGACATAGGAATTAACTGGGTCTTGAAGTATGGATCAGAAAGGATTGTGAGTAAAGCTGAAAAGTGTATTTAGTTGTGATCAGGGTTTTTTTTTTTTTTTTGGTTTGGTTGTTTGGTTAAACTTTCCTGTGTGAATCTATGCCTTCCCTCCCCCATTCAATATCTAAGGGTATGTCTACACTACCCCGCTAGTTCGAACTAGGAGGGTAATGTAGGCATACCGCACTTGCAAATGAAGCCCAGGATTTGAATTTCCCGGGCTTCATTTGCATAAGCGGGGCACCACCATTTTTAAAACCCCGCTCGTTCGAACCCCGTGCAGCGCTACTACACAGGGCACGAACTAGGTAGTTCGAACTAGGCTTTCTAGTTCGAACTACCGTTACTCCTCGTGAGTTCGAACTACCTAGTTCGTGCCCCGTGTAGCACGGGCTTCGAACGAGCGGGGATTTAAAAATGGCGGCGCCCCGCTTATGCAATTTCAAATCCCGGGCTTCATTTGCAAGTGCGGTATGCCTACATTTCCCCACTAGTTCGAACTAGCGGGGTAGTGTAGACATACCCTAAGAGTGTACCCAGAGATATTTTCTGTATTTTAATTTGTTTCACTCAGTTGTTCTATAACACCTAGATTCTTGTGTCCTGGAAAGAAGCAGGAGGTCTGCCTATGTGTATGTATGCCTCAGTCTAAGAGGTCAGCTACCAGAGCTTGCAGTTTATTTTCTATTTGTGTTTTCAAGCTCTCTTGTTGTAAAGGAGTTGGGTGTACCCCTCTAGAAGAAGTCCAAGTGCTTCCTTCCTGGGTTCAAGAAGAAAGGTTTTTTTTCCCTTTTTTTTTCACTTGATGGTATTAGCTATCCCTCCAAAAGTTGGTAAGGCACGGTATTTAAGGTCTCTTGTGGGCCCCCATCTTCTGCACTCGGAGTATCAGAGTGGGGAACAGTCTTGGCAAACTCATTGTATTTAGCTATGAAGACATGAACTCAATTCCCTGCTCTCCCACAAACTTCCCACATGACCTTAAGGAAGTCATTACGTTACACTGCACGGTTATTTCAGGATACCCCATGTCTTCACAAGCCACACATTATTTTCTAAATAAATAATGGGCACACTATTTCAGCATCCCAGTAATCCTCGTTCCACAAGGGTTAAAGGATGTCTCGAAATAGCACGTTATTTCAAAATTTGGTGCTGTGTACACGCGCCAAATTTAAAAATAGCCTATTTCAAAATTCAATCAAAATAAAATATGCAATTTGCATAGCATGAGTTGCATATCTTGTTTCAAGTTTAGGGTGCTGTATATACACACCTTTTGTCTCTGTGTCTGTTCTGTAAATATTGTGCTGTGCTGTGATATTAATACATCTCTACCTCTGTCAGCCGACGGTCAGGGCAGTGTGTGTGTGTATGTTTCCGAGAAAAGGTTTAACGTCCGTGCCTTTACTGCTAGGACCGGGGTCCCATCGCAGAGGGTGGCCAGCAGGCCAACAGACGCCCCGTTATATAGGAAGAGCTTATTACATCTTAGATTTCAGCTGCTAGAATTTCATAATTCCTTCGCAGCGGGCAGCCTTGAGGAAAGACTGAAAGATGCCCCAGTGGGTCCTGTCACCTGGGAGTGACACAGATCCAAACGCCCAAGCTCTTCCTATAACTGTCCCTTTAGACCGGCTGAAGTTCTTTTAAATTGTGCTTGGTTCTGTTACAGCAACTGAAGGAGTCAGGTTAAAGCTTAAACAGTTACAGGTTTATTGAGGCAGCTTATAAATCATATGGTTGCAATGGCTATTGTTCTATTTCTTAACTATTAGCAAAATATAGGTCTTAAAATGGTTACAAAGAAGATAAAGATAGAAAAATAGAAATAATGGTACCAAGTAACAGCTTACTCTTTCTATGTGTACACTTAAGACAGAGGACCACATCCAGGTACCATTTTTACCCCCTTCTGTGCCTCTCGACTCCAGCATGTCAGGCCAGGGCCGGTCCCTCAATTCCTAGGAAAGACGAAAATACGAGGTGGGCGTCCCCATGGAACCTCGGGAGGTCAAACACCTAACCCGACCAGCAGGTAGAGGGTAGAATGACACTCAAAGTGAGTGTGTGCTGGGCCCATCTTATATACTCATGGGGTCACGTATTTCTCTTTCTTATCTGTAATGCCAATTGATGCTGGTCTGTCTGCTGTGAGACCAGTTCTTACAAGGGAGTTGTGAACTTAATTTACACTTGTAAGAGAGAATTGAGATGATTAAATTGGAAGTACAGGACATTGTTTTCTCAGTGGGAAATTCCTCTCAGGGACTGTGTGTGTGTTCGAATCAACATAGGTGCCAGCCGGTGGCAGTCTCGCATATCCTGATCTCTCCTCATATCTATGTTTCAGCTTCTCAGGATCAGATGAGCCAGCATAGACTATGCTGATTTTATTGCTCCTTCTCTGTCCTGTATGCTTCAGGAAGGCAAATAAGATGGATGATATGGGGTTAGTATGTCTGGCTACATGGTCTCTCAGTCCTCCATCAGAAGGGGGTATGCAGTTTGCTGCAGATCCACTTCCTCTGCGAGCTGCAACTGGAGCTGATGACTTTGACACGTTCGTCCAAAGAAGCACAGTTGGCGTCTCCTTGTATTTCAAACCTGCAACCCAAAAGCATTTGGAGTGAGGGTCTGTCTGCATGGGGAAGTTTCTGCTCAGTGCATTCTGCACTGCAGTTCTAAAGGTACAAACACTGCTGAGCCCCTTCGTGTACAGAAACTACAGAGCTGAAAAAAGTTTATTCCAGTGTTTAACCAGTTTATTCCAGTGTTGGGAATTTTTTCCTGATGTCCCACCAAAACCTCCCTTGCTGCAGTTTAAGCCCATTGCCTCTTGTTTAACTCGTGAAGTCATTCTGCCGCTCTACTCTGCACTAGTTAGGCCTCAGTTGGAGTACTGTGTCCAGTTCTGGGCGCCACATTTCAAGAAAGATGTGGAGAAATTGGAAAGGGTACAGAGAAGAGCGACAAGAATGATTAAAGGTCTAGAGAACATGACCTGTGAATCCAGGCTTCGTGAACTGGGCTTGTTTAGTTTGGAAAAACGAAGATTAAGGGGGGACATGATAGTGGTTTTCAAATATCTAAAAGGGTGTCACAAGGAGGAAGGAGAAAATTTGTTTCTCTTGGTTTCTGAGGACAGGACAAGGAGTAATGGGCTTAAAGTGCAGCAGGGGAGGTTTAGATTGGACATTAGGAAAAAATTCCTAACTGTCAGGGTGGTCAAATATTGGAATAAATTGCCAAGGGAGGTGGTGGAATCTCCCTCTCTAGAGATATTTAAGAACAGGTTAGATAGACATCTGTCAGGGATGGTGTAGCCGGAGCTTGATCCTGCCTTGAGGGCGGGGGGCTGGACTCGATGACCTCTCGAGGTCCCTTCCAGTCCTATGATTCTATGATTCTATAGGCCATGTTCTCTAGACCTTCCATCAGTTTGTTGCTCTTCTCTAGTGCCTCTCCATTTCTCCACATCTTTCCTGAAATGCGATGCCCAGAACTGGACACAATACTCCAACTGAGGCCTAACCAGTGCAGAGTAGAGCGGAAGAATGACTTCTCATGGCTTGCTCACAACACTCCTCTTAATGCATCCTAGAATCAGGTTTGCTTCCCCCCCTTCCCGGCAAAGTCACGCTGTTGACTCATAGTTAGCTTGTGGTCCACTATAACCCCTAGATCCCTTTCTGCAGGACTCCTCCCTAGACAGTCACTTCCCATTCTGTATGTGTGAAACGGGCTGTCCCCCACTCCCCACAAGTGAAACACTTTCCACTTGTCCTTATTAAACCTTATCCTATTAGCCAGAGAAATGGACTGAAGTTATCTAAGGCCAGCTTGTTTCTGTAAATGGAGCTCGAGGGGAGGAATTTGCAAAGGCTGCCATGCATCTGGGTGACACATCTGCCACCATGTGCCTGGGCCAAGTGGCAGGACAGGGAGCTGATGGTCCCCCTGGCTTCATAGGAATCTACCTCAGAAACCAGCATAGATCTCTCATGGAGCTACTGGGTAATCCACTTCCAGGGGTTCCTTGGCAGAGCTGCTGTTTTCTTGCCCCATTCAGGATAATGCATTGCTGCAGGTAGACCAGCCACGAAAAGAAAGCCAGTGTTGGAGAAGCCCCTCCCTTGAGTCTCTGCTCACCCTGAACACTGAGATACCCCCCTTAATGAACACACACATGGAAAATGTGCGGACAGGAATGGTTGTAATGCTCTTCCCAAGAGCAACATGCCCCGTGCACAGTACAGAATCACAGAACACTGGAACTGGAAGGGATCTTGAGAGAGCATCAAGTCCAAGCAGGTCCAAGCTCCGTCTGGATCAGGTGTGGGGAACCTGTAGCCCCCAGCTTGCCAGGATCTGGCCCTGGAAACTTGGGGATCCCCCTCAGCACTGGGGAGCCTGCAGTGACACTGCAGCCTCCCCTCACTGTCAGCAGCCACTGACCCCAAAAAAGCTTCCCCATCCCTGGTCTAGATCATCCAATCTGCTCTTAGGTATCTCCCGTGATGGAGATTCCACAGCCTCCCCAGGAAGCCACTGAGGCATTTCCATGATGAGGCGAGATACTCACCGATGGTCGAACTCAGTGCCATTGACCCATCTCCAGACCCCGCCTGCGTCCTTCCGGAGGCCGATCCAGTGGTCCAGTCTGCCTGGGTAGGGAAGCAGCGAGCCCTGACAAATACAATCAAAGCCATGAGCTGTGTTAGACCCTCTGTGCTGCCCCCACAGCCCTTGGCAGCCGAGGATTTCTAGAGGTATCAGCCTTTGATAGAGATTAACACTAACCCTTCACCCTGTCCAGGCCTCCACTTCAGGGGCTGTGGCATTCACTGGGGTGAAGCAGGAATTGAGCAGCAAGGTCTCTGTCTGCCCAGAAGCCCCTTGTCAGGGCACAGTGGGGCGGGTAGGGGGATGAAGGGGAGAGAAGGAGCTGGTGGAGGGGTGTGTGGAAAGAGACCCCTGCTACCGAGGCAAGGGCACAGAACAGGCCTCGCCTCGAGTCACATTTCCCTGCCTCTCCCATAGTGAACCATGGGGCTTGGCTGGGGAGCTGGCTAAGTCTCCCCAGCTCTGCCCAGAGTCTCTCACCAAGGCTCTGAGCAGCTGGAGGGTCGGGGAGGCTGGAGCCCCAGGACCACCCAGGGTTTGGCTGCCAGAACCGCACTGACTCCAGCCACCCAGCCTGGAAGACACCTGGCTCCCCTCTGCCCTGCCAGGGCCCAGCCTGACTCCAGCCTGGCCTGTGGTGCCAGTGATCGCTGGGCTCGGCACAAAGCGTCCATGAGGCTCACCAGCGCTTTCGGACTCTCAAACCTGACCAGGGAGGCACTGAGTGAGGAGCAGTTGTTCTGGCTGTTGGTCCAGTTCCCTTCGGCCTTTGAAAAATAGAAACATTTACCCTGGATCTTGAGCCAGTCATCAGGGCAGCAGGCAGCAGGGAGACCTGGAGGAGAACACACGGCTCAGGGCTGGCTCTGGAGCCACAGGCGGCTCCTTGCACAGGTGCTGACTCAGTGGCTAGAGCTACAGGAACAAACTTTCTAATGTGCCGGGGGTGCTCACTGCCCCCAGCTCTGCCCCACTGCACCCCTTCCAGCAAGCCCCCCCTCCACTT